ATTTAGAGTTGGGACAACTGCGGATTGTTCCGTGGCAATCGAAGCACTTGCATTTGGAGCTGGGATAACTGGCATGGGTTGCTCCGAGGCAGTCGAAGTACTTGCATTTACAGTTGGGACAACTGTGGATTGTTCCGTAGCAGTCGAAGCTCTTACATTTAAAGCTGGGACAATTGTGGATTGCTCCGAGGCAGTCAAAGCACTTGCATTTACAGCTGCAGGTTGCTCCGAGGCAATGACCGGCGCAGCAGTTGATTCCAAGATCGTTGACGTTGGCGGTGCAAGAACACTCTCATCACGGTTTCCATCTTTAGACTTGATATCAAATGCTGTAATATATAATTGTGCGAGTTTATTTATTTTAGTAGTTTATGATTAATGATCATGCGGTGGAAACGGTTAATATAGACCGAATCGAAAACTTGATCCGCCATCAATAGACACTAAAGGTTGTCTACTTGTCCCCGAGCAATGCGGAAAAGTCGAATACGAGTACATTATTAATGCTATACATCCTGACAACATATACATCTAAAGTGAACAATAATAAATATGCATGCCAAGGATAACAATTGAGGATTCCTCTTATTACGTTTTCGTAGCGCTTACGCTGTGGTTATAGTGGTATCACTAATATTCAAGATGCCGCTTATTTTTGTCCTGACTCGTGCAAGAACTTTTTAAAAAAAGCTGTAGGATCAGGTGCGCGATAGCTAACAGAATAATATTTACGAAAACATTCAATATTTTCATTCGAGGCCGCTATCTTTATCAGTGATACCACTATCTTTATCAGTGATACCACTATAACCACAATACAAACTGCAAAGCGCTACGAAAACGTAATAAGGGGAATCTAGTATTGGTGGCTGTACCTTGCGAAAACGTGGCCCAGCTCTCCTGCCCAAAAGCGGAATGTTGGACAAGTACACACTTTCTCGACACCACTTCTACACCGTCGGCGCCTCTGCAGATGATTTGACCATTCGCTTTCTTGTTGAAATACTGTTTCTTGTTACTGATAACTCCAACTCCGAGTGCAGCAATTTCTTGCCTCATTTTATCTTCTCGTGGCGTCGTATTGCCACTTTCTTTAACCAATGCGATCAACCATTTCAGGGCAATGGCTACACCGCGTATCTTCATCGTTGTTGATGGGCCTGATGAAAAATTCACGTCAGGATTTATACTGGTCAACATCTAAATGAATAATGCATGCGAAAATATGAGAAAATATATGACTGAAAATATGATCACTGAAACCTTCAGTTATAATAATCAGGGCCGGATTAACTTTTATAATCAGGGCCGGATTAACTTTTATAATCAGGGCTGGTTTCACGGGGCTCGCGGCATATTATCAGCGTGGGCCCCTTGACACCCCCCTCCCAGGCCCCCAACGACATTTTAAACCCTGAATTCAGAAACATTCAATCCTTTTGTATTTTGAGATTTGAAAAGTTGCCCGGGTATACTTTGATTATTACCGGTATTCTTGGATTTCACTACGGCATTTTGCAGTGAATCTGACGGGGGGTCAACCTAAAATGTATTGATGCTTATGCTGTATTGGAGTGAGCAAATGATACGAAATTGCATGTATTTGCCATTAAACACAAGACATACAATGAACAATTAATTGACTCTAATGACTGCGTCTCGATTTAGAGTTGACCCCCCCCGTCAAATTTATGACGTCATATGAAACCCGAGAATTACATTCAACTTGGATGGTTATGCCTTTGAATACTATCAGCATAACCATTCAACTTGGATAATTATGGCGTTGAATGTGATCGACATAACTATCAGGGGCTTCGTGGGTCCCATGTTTTAGGGGGGGGGGTGTGCAAGGGCAGTATTTTCCTGTCAAACACAATTTTTCAGACATAAATCATTTTCACGAACCGTATTTTTCACGTCCGTAAAGTCATTTCACAGTTCGTACGAACCGTACGAATTGTGTTCAATGTTTACCATCTTCACGATCCGCGTATACGTTCGCCAGTATTGGACAATCATCAATTTTTTCGGTGAAACCCGACGATCCGAAAATTTATTTACCCGCCCCAATAATATATGAAATCATATTGAATTAAATATTGACTATTCTGTAAAATTATATTGGGAAAACGTAAACTGAGTCCGATTTCCGATATTTCATCTATATATTTTCTTATTCAAACATATTTCGCATTGTCAAACAACGAAGAGAAGTAACTCCAGCTTCTATATGCAGGTATGCTTGACCATGCGAAGATTCCGATAACATAACAAATTTGGCATGGCCCCCATATCCACCCCCGCAGCCACGGGGCCACTGATAACTATTCAACTTGGATGGCTATGCCGTTGACTTTCTTCAGCATAACCACTCAATTTGAATTGGATGGTTATGCCGTTGACTCTCTTCGGCATAACTATTCAACTTAAATGTCATCGGTGTAACCATTCAACCTAATTCAAAATGTTTAATCATAACCATATGGTTGAAGGTTAATCATAACTATGTTTTTTTTTTAATCGAAAAGAGTAAGCGCGGGGTTCCCAAAAGCGTGGGGCCCGTGGCATATGCCACTTTTGCCATTTGGTTAATCTGGCACTGATAATAATATCCTTATAATATAAGTAAAAATTACAGTCTCAATTATCTTTGGTATTGTAAGTCCGTACTCTCTTATACACCTGACAATAAGATCGATAACAAGCGGTTCGCCAGACTCTGGTGCCGAAATTGGTACGGAAGCTTCATTCGCATCCTCCATCTGGTACTTGTTTACCCCGTGCGGAATTATCACATCGACGAAGAAAGAGTACGCTGAATTAGCATCCAATCCTACATCTGCCAGTTCAATAACCTGACAAATAATTAAATTGCATGAATGAGGTGAATTTAATTGTGAGAGTGCGCAACGCCGGATACAATTCATGCATCTGTCGTCTAAATCTGCAACATCTTGTACCATTGCTGAGCGAATGGATTTGGCACGTGTTTGGCAAATGTACTCTACATCCTCAGACACACCAATCATTGTTCCAATTGCGCTCGAAGCTCGATCTAGCATATTTTCGCAATCATGCTCCGCCCTTTGCTGCGCATCTACTTCATTGGGACATCTCTTTCCTTCTATAAATGGAATCAGCACGAGTCGTCCAAACACTCTACATAAATTGAAGAAACTCAGTGTCAAACTTCTGATACACTGGTAGATTGTATGGCATAAAACCTATCCTTAACTACACTTTTGTGTGATAATTCTATTACAAATGCATGCTTTAAAAAGTAAAGGTTTATTCGCTTGTAAAGAGAGCCCTATACGATGCAGTAAAGTGATACACACAAGAATACATCTTTCCGATGATTACGTCATAACATTTTAGCCTGGATTATATCGTTCGCCTTATAATAAAGACCAGGGACACCGGAACTGGGGGGGGGCAGGGGAGCAGCTGCCCCTCTTGCCTTTTGCTAGGGGGGGGGCAAGAAATCACATTTCCAGTGATGCTTTTTCGGGTAATTTATAGGCCCAGAGAAAGTTAAATTACAAAAATAAGTGTGAATTTGGAAAAGAATGAGGTTAATTTACAAAAATTTTTGAAAATTTTTGGATCAGTTTAGAAAAAAATTCTGGATAAATGGAGAAAATTACTGATGTCAGGAAAAATATTTTTACGTCACGAAAAATTTTGGTATTTCCGGAAAAATTTTTTGACCCCTAAAATGGTGCACTACTTTTTATCTATAGAGGTGCCCCCCTTCTATAGTTTGTAGCAATGTTTTCTTTTTGCAGTTTCACCCGTTGTATAAATCCAGTGGAGCCGTGGCCAGGGGGGGGGGGGCATGGCCACCCTATTGTTGAGACCCGTCGGAAAATTGTCAATGTTATCGGAATCAGTTCGTGGTGAAGAATCGGAAAAATTGATATGATAATATCCGGAAAAGTGCTACGAAAGCAATTGTAACGTTATTGTCCGGAAAAGTTTTTTTACCAAAAAAAGTTGTCGACGTTGTCTGGAAATTTTTTTCCTCATTGGAGTTTGTCGTCGGAAGTACTGCCCTTGGCCCCCTCACGCTAAAAAAAAACGCTGTATAAATCTACCTGAAATAATTTTTCATAAGCCATTTCAAGAAACTGCGGAACTCTTGTGGCTCCAAATTGCAAGTCAGGACACCTGATCCAAAAGATTTATTGAGCTTTTCCAGAAATCTTGCAGTTCCTCCGTTCATTACTTTTTGCAATCTAAAGTAGCATATTCTAAAAAAAGTATAAGAGTAATTAATACATTAATTATGCAACAGCGACCACTATAGCTAGATACTATACTACGCCAGTACTATATTTGCATGGTGTATATAAAATTTCCGCAAAAATTGACCGGATTTTCATTGTTTTATACCCACATATTTAAGTCGGTATTGATAACCTCATCTGTACATGCATCTTTATTCTTTACCTCAATTTATATAATGCTGGAAATGCACTAAAACTTTTGATTTTTTTTTCTAAAACTACAAACTGCGGAGCAAGTTAAGTTTAGTTTAGTTAAGTGTTTAGTTTTATATAATTTAATTTTTATTAGTGGATATATTAGACTGAAGTGTTATCAGATTTTATCAATAATAGTCGTTTTCATTTCTATATATAACTATTCAAATATGCATGAAATGTTTGGAATAATTTTTGGCCTTCGATTTCGTCATGCTTTAACTTTTATCAAGCAAAAGCATTTGCAATGTTTATACAGTGACATTATCTGATAAAGTTTTCAAGGGTAAAGGCGTCGTTAGGATGTTCTTAAGTTTTGTTTTGACTGCCGGTAAATGGGTGCCGTGCATTCGTTCGTGCATAGTATACTTGCAGTCATCGGCATGAAAACGCACCTAGTTAAAACGCAAACTCCTGGGGCTGGGCCTTGTGATCGTCATTTATCGCAATAGCTGCACATCGGGATGGGATAAATCTGTCATGCATGGTTATGGCCTTGGAAATTTACGCTGTGCGTATAGTGAACGCAAATATATTTACAAGACTTTACTAAGTACTGGTGTGATAATAATGCAATCATTTAGCTGTACATGTGTGGCAAGACAATCAGTTGTTAAATCAAAACGACAAATTGAAAGGCAAAGAGTTACCGTGTGCCAAAATGCAAGGTTAACCGAAAGCGCAAACTCTGGCGTGGCTAATGACAATTAACTGACTTAAAATGTCGAAGATATAGTGTGTATTATTTAAAAGGAAAACAGAACATTGTAGGTTTTCGGTCGTTTTGCCAGTTTTATTAAAGCAAAAGAAATGAAGTTTGCAAATATATGGAATATTCAAAGTGCTTCCGCTGATAAATGGAAACAGTAAAATATGTCACTGACAATATATAAATGATAATGATTAATGTTCACGTTCATATTGTGTCCAAGTAAAAATGTCTAGAGGCTACGAATGGTTCGATTGATTGAATAAACAGATCAGTTACCGAGCAGCATTGTGAACATGGTTACGCGTTAATTTTTGCATGGACAAAATAATGAAGGGGAAAAAGGAATATGAAACTACAGCTATAAGCCGATGCTACAAATCTGGCAAAAGTTCTATTAGGACACTTGGTGACTATAATACCAAGCTGCAAGGACACAGTTCATATAAATATAAACATCTAATTTACACAATTTAACCTCCCCCCCCTGGTACCGCACAATGTTGGTTTTTATGTCGGATATCGTAAAGATTACTGTGCTCTTTCACATGCAATAATTTTGATTCGTTACCATGCAGGATTGTAGCTGGGTGCGTTGCCTAGATTGAATTAATGTATTCGCAGTACGGTATCATATTTTATTCTTCTGCATTGAAAACCAGTATAAAGTACTGAAATTTATCGCATGAGAAACAAAATTAGTCTGCAACATTAACTGAAACATTTAGTAAATTAATATAATTTATATCAGTATATGTATAAATTGTGTTAAATCTGTTTAATAGACCGAGATGTTTAATAGACCGAAATTGTGGGTGCTATTTGTTTCCCGATTCGTAACCATTCCTCAGTACCCACAGCTAAAACTTCAGCCATGGATGAAAAGACTGAAATTATGGAACTATAAAATTAACAGTGGTTTTATGTTTAGTTTTAAAGCCGGAAAAGGCCACAGACAGACACATTAGCATACGTCCCGAGGTTATACTGATACGCATGCTTGTAAGGGAAGGTATATATACAAATGACAAATTACTAATACACATTGACACCGGCAATGTCTATACTTACATGACATGATGCATCAACTATGCGAATGTAATACGCTATAGTATAATTCAGTTTTTAACAGTCGGAAAGCTGGGTAGGGATATAGCAGAAGGCATTAAAATAGATATCAGAATTTAGCCTGCCAATGAACTAAAATGGCGACACGTAACATGTAAAAAAATTTAGTGGGACAAAGGCTAAACTTTCATGACAAAAACTATGTGGGTTATGTGGATTTAACATGATGTCGTACGATGGCAGAATTCAGCATTTCGTATACAATCAAAAAAGTAGGCAGGGACACCAAAAACCCAGTTCAATTAAAGACATCATTTCGATGATCAACCAAAATGGCGCCATGTAAAAAATTGGCGCCAAATGTAAATCCATCTGTTTATGGATATTTTTACTCATATTTAACAATATGAGTAATTTGTGAACATACTATTAAATACATTATTAGGATATGAATGTATATTCAACTTCAAAAATCAATGTCGTACCTTTGCTGTTCCCTCAAAGAACAATAGATCTTGCATAGAAATCCACTGTCTTGACCTGCATCAACATGTTTCAACAATTCTATTGAAAATGTAGCTTTTTCCACGTAATGCACTACCCCATTCTTACTTTTTATTTCGATGCCGAAATCTTTCTCTCTCGAAACGAAAACGGGCTCCATAATAAATGAAACTAATTAGGATTGTGAAGCGTCGCGTTCGATGATCAGCTTGCAGAATGTGAATTTCGCGCGCACCGTCGCATATTAAAATATCATCTTTGCTTCTTCCCTAAAAGGTAAATACTGCCTTTTATGGAATCTTGTGCCCAGATCCCGCCTTATGCGAACTTTATAAATATTCAAAATATAGGAATCTTGAACCAAATTTACATCAATTTTCAGAGCAGACGCGCTAATAGTGTTTACAATGAAGCTGGGCTATATACTGCCTGTCGCAGTGTCCCCATTAATACATTAACAATGACATTTTTAGCACATTTGAATTTCCCGCCATAACTTTTATGTCGTGCTATCGTCATTTGTGATGTCACATTATGACGTACCAGCAAGGAATTTTTATCAACAGCCACGATTGCAGTCCGATTTCCAGCGATGACATGCTCGGCAATGCGTAGCCTGCGTATCTGGCAGTTTTAAGAGTTGCGGCATCGAGGCAAGCGCAACGGCAAAGGAAACCCCAAAGTCCAAACCTTAAATATACCGCCACATGCACAGCGTAGGCAATAAGGTAATGTGCGAAGAAATACGATTTAGAGCTGGGTTTATGTTATACTCATATTTACAGGTTTATATCAGTCGTTTACATATATATATAAGTAGGGGCGTAGGAACCGGCGGGTGGAACAGGGGCCAGTACCCCCCAACTTTTCTTCAAAGTGCCCTTTTTTGTCAGCTAAGACAATGTAACATATGCCATTTCGTTAAGAGGAAGTGCCCTTAAGACGACTGAATAGGCGCCTCTCCAAGTTTAAGTTGCTTCCTACGCCACTGTATACAAGATAACACTCGTAGTCGACTACCAAGCTTGTTTGTTGTGGATGACGTTCGTTGTGGATAACGTTCGTTGTGGATAACGTCAATATTACATCAATATCATTAGGGTTGGTATGAGTGAGGATTAGGGTCAGGGTTGACGAACCCTCAATGAACGCCCGTGAGGTAGTCAACCAATGGCTTTACAGATAACTACATTATATGTACTAAACAAAGCAACTGAGTAACAGCGTAGGTCCATGCAGCAAAGCTCTATCGCTAGTGAATTTCTTAACAATAATTTATATACTTGTCATAATCAGTCAATGCCAATCTCGATTATATTACGATTCCACATCTATATTGCTAAAGCTGGAAATGTATTGAGTCAGTTTGACTTGTCCATTCTTTGGCTTCATACGGATCAGTTTACAAACGTATTTAATTAAATTATTATCTTTACAGACCTTTTTAATATATAGAGAATAATACATGGGTGCGCGGAAATACCAGATTTATTTCAAGTGTTGAACATGATATCTCGCGAGTGAGATATCATGTTCAACACGAGAAATAAATCTGGTATTTCCAAGCATCCATGTATTTTTCTGTTTATTATATAAACAAAATTCAGTGAAAAACAATAAAACGTCCGTGGCAATGCGTTTTACAACAAATTATATTTTCACACGTAAAAACATCGTATTTTTTACGTGTGTTTAAATACGATTTTTCTCAGTGGCCAAAAACTCTATATAACACATATGTTTATATAATAAAATAATATAATTAATATAATAATATAATTTGTATTGATATTATGCATGATAATTGTGCACTTGCGTTGTAATGCGTCCTTCAATACAGTGTGACCATTGTGACCCAGTGTGACCATTGTGATCCAGTGTGACCCAGTGTGACCATTGTAACCAATGTGACCATTGTGACCAGTGTGACCATTGTGACCCAGTGTGACCATTGTGATCCAGTGTGACCATTGTGACCAGTGTGACCATTGTGACCAGTGTGACCATTGTGACCAGTGTGACCAGTGTGACCCAGTGTGACCAGTGTGACCAGTGTGACCATTGTGACCAGTGTGACCCAGTGTGACCCAGTGTGACCCAGTGTGACCATTGTGACCAGTGTGACCAGTGTGACCATTGTGACCATTGTGACCAATGTGACCCAGAGTAATCCAATGTATTAATCCAATGTGTCCTACTATATTGAAAAACCACACGTAATTATTATTTAATAACTTGATTATATATTTCTAAGCAGATTATGCACATGCGTAAAGATGTGTGACTTGTGACGAGTCACACTATTACAGTGTCATTTTCACAAAAATATATCGTGCATGGTATATAAATAACATGGTATAAGTGTGATTTGAACTTAGGATTATAATGCAATCATTATTACTTGCCCTGTGAACTTTCATATGCCATTGTGTCTCAGCATAAAGTTTGGGACATGGTACACCAAGCAGTGCATATATGGTGTGACATGTTGTTTTCCAAATCCACTAACTTCACCACCAAGAGAAACAAAAAGCTTACCCCATGCACTTGCCTAGTATAAAATAATGTACATTTTGATTTTTAAAAAGAACTCAACTGTTGTACAATATATTGTTACACTGTGTTACTTGAAAGCTATGGTAGACAATTTTATTAACCCTCAATTTGTCTACCAACAATTCTTTTGAGTTTTCATTGCTTTTTCTCAAAGGAATTCTTGGTAACAAAATCAGGGTTAATCAAAGAAAATGACAGGCTCTTACAATACACATGATAGTAATTTGTATGGCACTAACCAGTTCAAAGAATTCTTCAATTCTATCAGGTGATGGATCACACTCATTCATCATTCGATAAATCTTGTCAAAGTCCTATAAATTAAGGAATTTTTCAGCGCCTATATATATTATAGCAATATGTAAGCGCTGAACAGTTGCGAGTTGGCTTTGCAATGCACTTTTATCACCTTCCAGATCTTGACAACAGAGTCGCAGTTTTTTGGCTTGATTACACCATTCAATTTATCAGGGAGATGCTTCATCAATAACTTCTTGTCTGAACCCATCAAACTTGTAAAGTCATGTACCCCACTTCCTTTTCCATCTGCATTCCATTTCTCCCACACATTGAATGAAACACCACATTCCTGGATGCACTTGATAAGGTCTGACAAGTGTTTGCTTGTCCTATCCTTTTGGCTTTTGTGCTTTATGGGTGTTATCTTTTACGTCCCACTCCAGAGCTTCGTTAATTAAACTTTTAGTCAATACATCTACAATATTTGATGAAATCAGAGAGATAAAAGTTTACAATAGTTAATATAATAAAAATTAAATATACAATGCTACTTTGAATAGAGTTGAAAATTGGGGCCACCAATAATAAATGAATGAATAAAGTATTTTGCATCAATTGTTGGGTTACCTGTGCTATTACAATAAAGAGATCTTTCTAGTTGTTGACTGTATATTAAGATACAAATATGGCTTGCAGTAAATTTTAATACATCAGTGGACAGTGATGTTGCTGTGTTCATACTTGCAGGTAATCAGTTAAAGGTATGTCAATTTTGAGATTGTAATAAAACAGAGCTAAGCTTGCTAAAATATGATCACCTACAGGTTAATAACTGATGAAATCTCGCTAGATCCAAACAGATCTGATTGCAATAGCATCTTAGCACCAGTTAATTAATGCCTATTGCCTAACACTCACGCCTGATGAGTGCAACTTAATTAAATTGAGTATGGTAAACAAAGGAGAGAGTACATTGGGGATGGATTGGATATTAAACAGTGGCAAATACTTTAGGAGACAGATAATGATCACCTGTGATGCGAAGCATTAAATGTAGTTCATCCAATACAACATTTTCAAGTTTTACTTCCAGCAATGGTTGGTGCTGGCAAGAAAATTTATTTTTTAAGGCACAATCTTTGATGTCTTTGAGTGAATGACAATCATGTGTTTCCCAGTAAGCCATTGTTTTGGACATATCCCACCTAAATAGACAATGACAAACATGATATCAGATATATCTCATGATTTAGTATATCAGATAGTTTCTTTACACACAGTAAGATGCACTTTAATAGTCTACCTTAATAACTTGTGTATTTTACACCAAATGCAAGCATAGTCAGAGGTGGCCCCTTTCAATCCAAGTATCAACAACAGGAACTTAAAAAACACAAACATATATATTTTAATTAGTTTAAACCTGGAAAAGCTTAAAATGTTTAACAGTTTCAGGGGCCAATGGCATGTTTGGGACTGCATACATGTACACTTTGTGCCCTGTGATGTGAGATGCCAACACAATGCAACAAGCCGACAAGTCATGGTGACCAATATTTTCCCTGCAAAAAGTCGCATCATATCAAATATTTTTTTATACTGGGAGTCGCCCACACTGATCCCTGCTATTTGTTACCTCACAAGACCAAAGCTTTATGATGGATAGTAATAGGTTACCTTGTAATTACCTCCCACAAAAATTTCAATTGGTACATCCTTGTCCTTAATTTTGATTTTTCCTGAACTTGCTAACTTATTTATGTCATCAAAAATCTTGGAGCATGATTCTTTCAACAAAGCATAGTCCTCATGACCCTTAATTACAGCAACGGTATGATTTCCTTTATGTAAAGAAATAGATTTGTTATTACATTATATTTAAAGTAATCACGGGTGATTTTCTGCTAAGCTTGGAATCAAACAGTTGGATTGAAAGTTTGATTGTTGAAATGGTTGTTGGGCAATTTTCAATGTTTTGGGCATCTCGACTACAATATTTAATATTTGTAATCATGATCTCTAACAAATGAAGTCTATACAATATAAAGTAATACCTTTTGATGACATTACTGTATCTTCAGCATTTAAGATTGAAAAACTTATAATAATGAAGTTTGTTAGACGTGTCATCTTTGCCCCATCACCACTGATTTTCACTTTGAAGTGGGCATCTTTTAGTGTTTCATCAGCCTGAATCTAAAATTCAAGGTTGCAAACTTTTATAGTACTTTAATTAACCCATTGAGTGGTGGCACTCTCCCTCTGATGAGTAAAATCGTCTGGTGTTAGACAGAGTAAAATAATAAAGTAGGGCGCATCTGGGCACATTACCACTTAAAGGGTTAAAATTCTGAATGCGGCCAATTTGAAACTTATTTTGGGGTTCAATTTACTCGGTTACTTTATAGCTCCTCAACATGGGCCTGTTTTACAAAATATATAGTTCATATCATATTTAAAAGGATTAGGTATCTTACCATCCCTTCAATGACCACCCTTAACTCATCCTGGAAATTAAGAGCAGCCCCATTTGCTTCTCCAGGTGTCCTTTCAATATAGATGAGTTTGTTTAGGCCTTCTTTGCACTGCTTGATGAGATATGATCTAGGAAGCTCATCTCCTCCTGGACAACAGGACAGTTCATGGTAGGAAGCATCACTGATGCAAAATTTGTCCATGATATGTAATGTCTCCTGAATTTTTTGCTGCTCTTCAGTGGGCAGATCTTTGTAGGATTTCCTTCCTTTTTCTCCAAATGAGAGAGAATACGGATTCCCTAAGTGATCGACCAATTTAACTGTGTCTAACTTTAGCCCAAAGGATTCACTGAACCACAATGCCTGTTCTACTCGGGTTTCCAAGGTTTTAAGCTTGCGTTCTTGCTGCCGTTTTCCTACTTCGGTAATGCATTTCCCTTTGTCCTCAAAGTTTCTTTGAGGGGAGATCTTTTCAATGACATTATACAAATTTTCATTTTCTTGCTTCAATTTATCTATGTCCACTTTAGCTTTATCAATTGTTATCTGCATTTTGTTTACCAGTGTCAACGTCTTGTTATATTTGATATTTAATAGGGCATTTTGACTTGTAACCTGTGCATTGGCCCTTTCGAATCATACTATATTACTTTGCAAGACACTCACCGTTTGAGCTGTTACAAGTTCGTTCTGTTGCACAGCAAAACTTGTAACTTTCCCGAGCACATCTTCCCGTTTTCTCCCCCTTGTCCTGATGATTTTCTGTGCAGCCCGAGAGCAACTTTTCCGCAAGTTCTCCTTGATTCTTTCTTGAATCTTCGTAGGATATCGTTTACATAGAAATGCATTTAAAATTTGCACATATGAATATTCGATTAGTACGCTTTGCTTGGTTTGATACCAAGAGTTTAGTTGTTCCCAAGGCAGCTGAATTGTGAAGGGAATATCTTTAGCTTCACCGCCTAATTTTCGAATATAGGGGGTGTAATGCTCAGTATCAACAACTATATCTTTTTTAAATTTTGTTTTAGAATATTTTTCCAATGCATTGGCCATAACCACATATGATATATTGTTCGAATTTCGTGCACAATCGCGCTAAAGTGCACCAGAAATAAACAAAATAACAGGAAGTAAAAATACAAATGCATAGGACACTGAGCAGAAATAGTGCAGCTTCAAATTTTACAACTCGACAGAAAGCGCTTTCTTCGAGCTTGAATTTGATATCTTGGGAGGCGAGTAATATGAATTTTAAAGCAAAAATTTTTGTCATCAAAGACAAGAGCATCCAATGTTTTTCTGCTGAAAGCAAAGTATTGATGTTCTCCTGTTGTGATGTGCAAAACGTCGTTTTTTATGCGTTAAATGGAAACATCCAACAGCACACAACATGGTAGAAAAATGGATCATGGTGTTGTTCCATAGTTGAACTTCAATGTTCTTGTTGTGCAAATTGACTAACGATCCTGAGTTACCTGCTAGTGTGCTATGAATACCGTGAATTCGACAAATTTAATAGGAATTATTAAGCAAGTATGTCAGTAATGTACACATTTCGGTTGGAAACATATGCTTTGCTCAGATAAACGTCAAATATGTCTTGAAGTCATCATTTTATGGTGTTCAGCTCCAAAAGAGTTGTGCAAATTTGAATTCTTATCTAGGTAAACTTCTGTTTGGCTTTTTGTGAAATTCATATAGTAATTTATAGTCCTGTTTGGACGCCATGTTTTTTTTAGAATGCGCATGCGCACTTATGCATGACGCGAATTTCTGGCAATGGCTACTGTGGATATACTTTTTTACGCACCTGTGCAGGGGTTCAGTATAATGATAAGCCGGAATTTAAGTTGCAACAAAGGCTTGATTTCAAAGGGTATACTTTTTTGAGACACCCTGTCCCCTGTAGTATTGACGAGGACGTTTAGACTAAACATCGCTCGTCCAATACTCATGAAATAACATGCTTCAAAGAAATTTGCACACAAGTTTTTAATCCATTTATTGTCTTACTTATTGATAATTAATGTTGATGGTCACATTTTTTAGTGGCCGAAGGAACTAGATTTTCGCTTAATATTTCAGCAACAACTTGTTTATCACTGACAAACGAAAAGCGCAAATCAGCCATAAATCCCCATCGATCCGACTGAAAAACGTGTATTTGTTTGCAAGCAAATTTATAGCTTGTGGATTCCCTGAACAAATTCGATAACGAGACTTAACAAAAAATAGCCTCCACTGTCTCGCAAATGAACACAACAAGTGGGCTAATAAATAAAAAACTAAGGCAAATTTACCCAACAAATGAGGGAAGTGAGTAAAAAGATTACGCATGCAAATTTACACAACAAAAGAGGCAACCTACATATAAACGTCACATTTTACATGTGCCATTCAAAACAATGGGTAATAAGCCAAAATACCTCATTATCCATTGTTTTGAATGCATTCAGCGCATGAAAAATGCGACATTTCGAACAGGCTTTATACGTCGAATTTGCAATTCAAACAACATTATAGATAATGAAGCTGAATGAAGCAAAATTTGAAGTATTAAAACAGGCCTGAGTCGGCCTGACCTGGAGCGGTTGTCTGTAATAGTCAGGTAAGACGTGTAAAATGAAAAAAATCAAAATCTTTCAAACTTTGTCAGAATGTAGGCCTATATGAAGTATTAATGTTGTGAAAGTTTTATTTCGATCGGAGAAATATTGAAGGAGAGAGACGTCGAAATTGGTTTTCCCAGGCCACTTTCGGTTTTTAGAGGTCATTTTACGGCACTACCAAAAAATCGCTCTATTTTGCACGTTAATGGGAATATTTCACGAAATATGATTTCGTTTTATAAATTAGAGTTATTTATTGAGTAGCAGACGAAATTTAGAGACATTTCTGTAAAAAGTGAATATTTTACAGATTTTCTTAATGTTTTTTTATTTTTGAACTTCTTTATTATATGTCATATTAGGCAGCGAATATCTCCATTGTTACATCGATTCAGACAAAAAATTCATAACCAGGTCAAAGAAATATGTTTTTGCTTGCTATTGATCAAATAAAATTTTGGGGCAACGTTGAATTGAATTTTTGACGAATTTTTTCGTAACCCCTATTTGACCCGAATAACCGTATGTTATGTAATCAACGTCGAGTCATGTAGTTCTATAAATAACCAAAGAGCTCGTCAAAAGCGTTTACTTCTTCGAGTACACAAGCCTAGGCCAATAAAACTACCTTAGCTAAAGCTGTACGATTAGCTGAAAGCATTTAGGTATAAATCACACTGTTTACAGTCGCTTATTGTTCAGGTAATGCCTATAATATATTGTATAGCCAGCGCCGCTGATTTGACGGATTTGGTTTTAATTATATTTTATCGGGGATATGCCGCGATAAGTATAGCAAGTGTATTTTCTCTCCCCTTCCCATAAACATCTGTTCTTTCACGACTCGTCATGCTTATAACTTTTCGAACATAAATAGTGCACGCGCTTTTTGTCAAAAACATCGGTCATTTTACGTTGAAATTGTAATTCGTTTACTTACAGTAGTTAATTTAATTAATATTAAAGCTGGATTCTTTCACCCCGATGTCATGCCAAAAGGTGTCTTTTCTATTTTTAAAAAAGACCCGCTGTTGATTTATGATTTGGTAATATTTACCACAGTTGTATGTCTTGTATATTTGATTATTTTGTTGTTGCTCAATATTCAATAACTTTGGTCAAACTTCAGACCAAACTTCTACGCACTGTTACTTATTAACTGGCCATCACTTTTAAAACAGCAAGAAGATAAAGACAACCTGTACGTGTGAGTTATCCATGAAATAAATAGTTGGTTTACAAAATGAATTCCGTCTTCGTGGATAAAATTAATGAGTTATAAATAATCTCTCCTGTTTGTGTTAAGCTACATGTAGGGATTTCCCCCGGTATATTTCTCAGTGGCGTGGCTGTCAATTCTTGGGGGGCGCAGAAATGAAAAGGGGGCGCCGATCCCATGCCGAATTTTGAAAGTGGGGGGGGAAAACGCATTCGAAAAAATATAGTTACTTCCGCCAAGAAAACGACAAAGTGATATATTAAATTACAGACTATTTTGTCTATTAAGCCGTATTTGCTAATTTGCTACTTTACGGCGCACACGAAATCATTCATATAGAAACATGATCAGTGATCAAACGCAATGTCTCATTACCGAAATATTGGTCAGGTTTGGAAGTGATCACAGGAATTATGCCCTTTTTTGCTGGTATTATGCCCTTATATTATGCCCTTTATTATGCTTCACGAGAGCGGCGCAAATTAGATAGTTGAAGTTATGATAATGTAAAGTTGTGTGCGCAATTTAGTTGTTTGCGCAAGAACCATCGTGAGTAATGTAAGTAATGAAATAATGCTGAAACGCGCCCTTTTGGCAGCCAGGCAAGGAAACCTTAAAATGCATATGCGTGGGGTCCGTGTATTGTATAAAAGAGCTGTAAGTTGTAAATGTATTCAGATCACTAGATCAGTAGAGAATAGAATTGAGATTAGATTAATCGCTGGAAGTGGTTAGCATTGCATAATTTAAGTACAAATTGCAAATTTCGACACGTTATAATGCTGTTTCCTGACCATCAGATTTCTGTCAAATCATCCCCAAAGTCCAGGAAATGGCATTTCAGAGACTCTAAATTCAAAAAGTTTCCTGGGGGGCATGCCCCCGGACCCCCCTAGACAAACCTCGCACCTTCGGCGCTCGGCTCGTGCCTTCGGCCCTCGTTTATCAAGTGTAATATTAGAGGGGCGCATATTGGTTGACAGCCCACCGGCCCACCCAGAAAAATAGTACCCAGCACGCCAGTGATATTTCTTCTCTTTTGTATGGCTGTTTGTGGTTACGCGTTATCTGACATATACTTTTGGTCCAATTTCAATTACATTTATCCAACCATTTCTGGATGATACATCTAGAACACTCAGACAGTTCTCAGGCCAAAAAAGTCAACTTGAAAGGGGGCCCAACTTTCCCAGAGGGGGCCCCGGAATGCTGGAATTGCACAACGTGTTCTAAAATTGAGGTCGAAAAAGGTCTGAAAAGTATTTTGAACCCCCCATTATCGCAAAAATAATTTTTGGAACGTTTTTCCCAAAAAAAGGTCGCCACCCCAACCCACCCCCCTCCCACCCTTTACATTTTACTGTAACATTTTTGCTTTACCAGAAAACATTTTGAGGGGGCCCCCGAAAAGGAAGGGGGCCAAATTTTTAACCGGGGGAAATCCCTACATGTAGCATTTAACACATACAGGAGAGATTATTTATAACTAATAAGACGGAATTCATTTTGTAAACCAACTATTTATTTCATGGATAACTCACCCGTATACGTTGTCTTTATCTTCTTGCTGTTTTAAAAGTGATGGGCAGTTAATTAATTAAACTACTAAATAAGCAACAGCGTAGAAGTTTGGTCTGAAGTTTGACTGTTTTCTCAGAACAAATTCAAACTTATTGAGCACTAACAAAATAATCAAATATACAACTGTAATTAATATTACCAAATCACAAATCAATATATAGAGCCGGGATCTTTTTTAAATTAATTTTAACAAATGGAAAAGACACCTTTTGGCATGACATCACGGTGAAAGAATCCAGCTTTAATATTAATTAAATTAAAACTCTTTGCGAGGTCGTCCTCGAGAGGTTGACGGCTAGAAATTTCATATCTTCGGATCAGTACATGCTATGCCTATGAAGACAGAAATACCACCATTCGATTCAGAAATAAAAGATCAACTAATTCCGAACGATAGTTATAGTCATTATTAACATTGTAGCGATTTATGGGAGTTTGAAAGTCAAATGCGATCGTATACTATCAAATTACTTCGAGCCTCGAGCTCACAGCCGGACAAGAAATGGAAATACCGTGATAAAAGATGCAAATTTGAAGATACAGGCTTGCAAATAACACTCTAAATAGTGTTTTTGATGGGGATTCGAACAAGACTATTACAAAGACGATATGTTTGAAGGGGTCGAAGTTATTTTCAGCGAAAGGTATGGCTAGTCTATATTTTTGTTCAGACAATCGCGTGAGCTATCCCAACCGGAAATACGACTAAAAAAACGTCAAAACAATGCGACGTTTGCATCGTATGACCTTGCAAATGGCCTATGTTTTTTACAAAAAGCGTGTGCACTATTTATGTGAGAACACGAGTTTATGGGAGGGTGAGAGAAAATATACTCCCTATACTTATCGCGGCATATCCCTGATAAAATATAATTGAAACCAAATCTGCCAAATCAGCGGCACCGGCTATCGAGTATCGGGCATTAGCTGAACAATAAGCGACTGTAAACATGGTGATTTAGACCTAAATGCTTTCAACCAATCGTACAGCTTTAGCTAAGGTAGTTTTATAGGCCTAGGCTTGTTTACTCGAAGAAATAAACGCTTTTGACGAGCTCTTTGGTTATTTATTGAACTACATGACTCGACGCTGATTATATTAACATACGGTTATTCCGGTCAAATAGGGGTTACGAAAAAATTCGTTAAAAATTCAATTCTAAGTTGCCCAAAAATTTTATTTCATCAATAGCAAGGGAAAACATATTTCTTTGATCTGGTTATGAACTTTTTGTCTGAATCGATGTAACAATGGAGATATTCGCTGCCTAATATGGCATATAATAAAGAGGTTCGAAAATAAAAAAACATTAAGAAAATCTGTAAAATATTCACTTTTTACAGAAATGTCTCTAAATTTCGTCTGCTAATCAATAAATATCTCTAATTTATAAAACGAAATCATGTTTTGTGAAATATTCCCATTAACGTGCAAAATAGAGCGATTTTGGTAGTGCCGTAAAATGACCTCTAAAAATCGAAAGTGGCCTGGGAAAACCAATTTCGATGTCTCTCTCCTTCAATATTTATCCGATCGAAATAAAACTTTCACAACATTAATACTTGATATAGGCCTACATTCTGACAAAGTTTGAAAGATTTTGAATTTTCTCATTTTACACGTCTTACCTGACTATTACAGACAACCGCTCTTAAGCGGCATCTAAACATGATAGGTTTTACTAAATTTTCTCCTGTGCAGTTATTACTTGCACTAAACACATGGATGACCATTTGTTCGAAAGATAAATGAACAGGCTTTAAAATAAGCCTAAAACCGTTTTATTAGAAGTAGCAGTCCGAAAGTTATTAAGCACAAAATTTGGACTCCGTTTTTTTTTTATACACCCTGTACAACTACCATCTCATATTACCATTATGGCATTAACCCATGCCATTCACCAAACATCCATGCTTGCAAGCACATATTGACATATACATTGTATGAAGCAAATATATTTATTGTAACACGGAAGTATGATAGGAAATAAGTAGATCAAAACTAAGGATAAGAGACTTGTATGAATATATCCCTTCTAGTAAACTATCTAAAAAATATAGCTTTCAATATAGTTAATTACACTGACAATCAGTCCAGGCACATTGTTTCTATGTCCATGCAGTACACATTAGGGCCATTTATACGCGACAAAATAAGTTGCGTCTTACATAAGATGTGTCTTATATAAGCGGAGTTATTGCATAAATGGTTCTCTATGGATTTATTCTTATTTACTTGCTATAGCTATAATGTTGTTTCGGTTGTTTTTGTTCGAATAAGCAATGCTAATAATTTTACGTTGTTTCAAGTTTCGGGCATGTGTAGTTAGAATTTTTGTCTAAAACTTCTTATTTAAGACGCGACTTAAATAAGAACAGCTAAAAGTCCTGTTCTTATGTAAGACGCGTCTTATCCAAGATGCGTCTTACATAAGAATTTTGTACCTTATACGACAAACTCGCGTCTTATTTAAGTTGTGTCTTATGTAAGTTATGTAAGTCGCGTCTTATTTTGTCCCGTATAAATGGCCCTATTGTTTCTGTCCATGATCATGTCTTTTGTGTTAGAAACTGATCGACTTTAACCGTAACCGTATTTCATTGTAGTTTTAATGAGAAGTATACAGGACGTATAAAACCTGCTTAGCGAAGCATATAAAAGAACAAAAGCATGCTTCCCTATCACGTGACTTAATCTAACACTAAGTGAGTCATTATACTAACGTTTACATGAAGTATGCAGTTCAACACTCCCACTTAATGACTACACTATGTAAGTTCATTATATCATTAAACCTATAAACTAAAAAATGTCAACTCAAATGCATCTGAATGTCATTTGATCATACAATGTCTTTTACTCCCATCATGTCTCTAAACCTTTCAAAAGATACCTTTGGTAAAGCTTTTGTCATTACATCAGCTAGCATGTTCTCAGTTCGACCATACTTAACACAAACTATATTACGATTGACTTGTTCTCTTATAAAATGAAAAGACACGTCAATATGTTTAGTGCGATTGTGAAATTTTGGATTCTTAGAGAGTTCAATCGCCCCTTGATTGTCCTCGAAGATTGTCGATGGAACATCTTGCTTCAAACCAATATCAGAAAGTAATCTTCTGAGCCAAACTGCTTCTTGACATGCAGTACTCAAGGCAATGTACTCTGCTTCTGTTGTTGATCTTGAAACGGATGCTTGCCTTTTACTGCACCAACTAATCGTGTTGTTCTGTATCTGGAACACATATCCAGATGTAGAACGTCGAGTTTCGACATCGCCTCCCCAGTCAGCATCAGCATAACCATACAATACAGGATTATTACCATGAGCAGTAAACGTGAGACCAGAATGAAGTGTCCCTTTAACATATCGTAGAACTCTTTTTACTCCCTGCCAATGATCTTTTCCAGGTCTAGCCATATACTTTGAAAGAATTCCGACTGCAGCAGCTAAGTCTGGACGTGTAGCATTAGTTGCATACGTTAAACAACCTATTGCCATCTGATACTCTCGAACATCAATTGGTGTATCATTCTCTGATAATGATTCAAATTTCCTCCCTGGTTCCAATGGCGTTGAAACAGCTTTACACTCCTGCATTCCAAATCTCTTCAGTACTCCTTCCAAGTACTTTGGCTGGTTAATAGTAAGTGTCCTTGCTTCACGATTTCGCTTCACAGACATACCAAGAACATAACTTACTTCTCCCATATCTTCTACTTGGAATCTTTTAGCTAGTGCTTCTTTCTCTTTCTTCAGCATTTCTGTGTTGTTAGAAAACCACAAGATATCATCAACGTACAGAGCTAGTATAACAAAGTCAATCTTTCCATTCTTGCGCTTGATGGACTTGATGTATATACATGGATCTGCATTCGACTTTGTGTACCCATTTGATATCAGGAAAGTGTCAATAGCAGAATTCCAACATCGTGCAGCTTGTTTTAGGCCGTAAATACTTCTATTTAGCTTGCACACATGATCAGGCCTTTCTTGATCTACGTAACCTTCGGGTTGCTTCATAAAAATTACTTCGTCTAGTTCACCTTGTAGGAAAGCTGTCTTGACATCCATTTGGCTAATCTCCCAATCACAAATATTTGCCACAGCTAATAAGGATCTAATTGAAGTATAACGCACCACAGGTGAAAAGATTTCTTGATAGTCAATTCCTTGAGATTGCGAATATCCCTGCGCGACTAATCGAGCCTTAAATCTTTCAACCGAACCGTCTGCCGTATGTTTAACTTTAAACACCCAACGACTTCCAACAATGTTCTTTCCTTTAGGAGGTGGTACAAGTTCCCAAGTATCATTCTTCATGAGTGATTCGTACTCAGAATCTGTTGCTTCTTTCCACTCAACAGAATGATCTCCTGTCCATGCTTCTTGAATATGTACAGGTTCATTTATATCAGCTGTAAGATTATCTGCAACATAACATTTGTCATCAAATCTAGAAGGAGCTCTACGCTGTCTCTTATCACCTAGATTTCCAGTCTCTCTCATAAAGTTCTCCTCATATGTTGCTCCCACTGGTTGAACATGAACTTCTTCCCGTTCATTCTCTTCATCAACTAATTCATTATGATCACCTTCAATAACAACAGCTGGTACATCTTGAATTTCTACTTGAGGAATAACATCATCTACTGGGATATAAAAATCGGTGCACGTTTTCCCTGAACAACCGTCTTTGAAATCATGAAATTTCCCTTCCACGAATACAATATCTCTACTGCGGATAAACTTTCGAGTTGATGGATCATAAAGTTTATAACCCTTTGTCCCTTCAGGATAGCCAATGAATACAGCTTTCCGAGACTTTTCATCAAATTTCTTGCGTTGCTTTTCTGGGATGTGAGCGAACGCCTCACAGCCAAAAACTCTAAGGTTGGAAACATCTGGCTTTTGTTTAAACAAACATTCATAAGGTGTTATTTCTTTAAGGGATGTAGTTGGACTACGATTTCTCAGATATACTGCGGTATTGATGGCTTCAGCCCAGAATTCAACTGGCGTCTTCCCATGTGACATCATAGACCTTGTCGATTCTACTAGAGTGCGATTCATTCGTTCCGACACACCGTTCTGTGCTGGATTGTAGGGAACAGTTAACTGATGTACAATTCCTTTCTCTTTAAGGAATGATTCAAATTCCTTTGAACAATACTCGCCACCATTGTCCGTACGTAATGTTTTAACACTCTTACCAGTGAGGTTTGTTGCCAAGTTAACAAATTCTTTAAATTTTGCCAACACTTCATCTTTATGCTTGATAAAGTAAACATACGTGTATCTCGTGTAATCGTCAATAAATGTGACAAAATATCTAGAACCACCAATGGAATTAACTGACATCGGACCACAAACATCACTATGAACCAACTCAAAAGGTTCAGTTGCACGCTTCGCCACTCCACTTGGATACTTTGTTCGATGTTGTTTACCCATTATACATCCTTCACAAACTGAATCACTTTCACCGTCCATCACACAGTCCATTCCTTGAACCATTTCACCTTTCATCAACTTATTTACATTGTCCATTCCCAAATGACCATAGCGATAATGCCATAACTTTAAATTTAAATCCTCTTTTGCAATGTTTGCATGATCAACAGTAACAATCTTTAGCATATAAAGCTTTCCTTGCATCTTGCCCACAGCCAATAGCTTTGAATTTCGTGTAATCTCGCATCCCTCACCTTCGAATCTAACATTAGCTCCTAACTTGACCATAGCTCGGACAGAAAGTAAATTCTTTTCCAGATCAGGCAAGTATAACACATCACGAAGACTTATATTTTGAACATGGTCTCCAAGATCAGCAACAATACGATATGTTCCCTTACCATAAGCTAATATAGAACGATTGTCCCCGAGATTAACAATACACGGTTGCTTAAACTCTACATAATCTGATAAATTACTCTTGTCAAATGTCATGTGTTGTGTAGCTCCAGAATCAATAATCCATCCAGAATTATGTAATAGATCAGAAGTAAACAATGCTTCGTCCTCAGTAATAAAATCACCATCGTCCTTTTCAGCACAGCGAGCTGATCCCTTGCTTTCTTTTCGATTTGCACTGTCAGCATTTCTCTTTGGGCAGTCTCGGGCATAATGTCCCCTTTCCTGACAATTATGGCACTTGCCCTTAAATACTCTTTTCTTCTCTTTATTCCAGTTGCCATTATGTTGTCCTTTCTTATTCCAGACACGACTGGCAGCAAATGCATCATCAGAACCCTTTGCATCACTACTACGATCAATATCATTTAGAAGCATGTTTTTCACCTTTTCATAAGATACATTCTCGTCACCAACGGCATCAAGGGCAGTTATTAACGGTTTGAACTTCTCAGGCAAACTCGCTAGGAGTGTCATTGCCAGTTCTTTATCGTCAATATTTACTCCCATCTCTTTCAATTGGTCATGTAATGATCTTAAGTGACTTATATGCTCTAACATATTATCTCCCGGACGAAAACGGCAAGAATAATATTGCTGTCGTAGCCTAACTTTTTGCAACAATGATTCACGAGCAAACTGACCTTTTAAAGCATCCCAAGCTTCTTTCGCTGTTCTCGTATCTCGCACGTGTATTTGATACTCCGGTTCAATGGCTAAACAGATGTGAGTCCACGCTTTCTTCGCACTAGAATTGAAGCTTCGACGTACGTTCTCAGTAGCACTACTTCCAGGACTTTCAGCCGTACCTTCTGCATGCTCAAACAGATCTAGGCTTTCCAAGTATAAACGCATATTGAACGACCATGCTCGATAGTTCGAGCCATTTAACTTCACAATCTTCAACGAATTCAGCGACACCTCAGCCATGCTTACAGCGACGAATTCTCACAAAAAACAATACATTAAATACTCGTTCGATTTCCCCAAAGTGGACCTAAACGTTCTGGGCCCATAACCTGTTAGAAACTGATCGACTTTAACCGTAACCGTATTTCATTGTAGTTTTAATGAGAAGTATACAGGACGTATAAAACCTGCTTAGCGAAGCATATAAAAGAACAAAAGCATGCTTCCCTATCACGTGACTTAATCTAACACTAAGTGAGTCATTATACTAACGTTTACATGAAGTATGCAGTTCAACATTTTGGTATCCAACCAATTTGTTTTTCATTGGCTTTGCTGGTAAAATAAACACCAATACCTTCCTGGTGATCTTTACCTGGTACATTTACATAAGTTCTTTTCAACTGACAACTAATTTCTATTCTCTCCGTCAACAGTTGTTTCATTTCATATCTTTGACTGCTTCTGAAAACGTTGTTAACTCGATGCTGTCTGGCCTTGAGATTTTCGACTTGAAGGGGAAGATTAAATATTAAAGAACTCCGCAAGTATTTGCAGTAGAAATACAAAAATACCACGAAAAAATTCCGCTTGAAAGATACTATATACTCAAACAATGTAAAATAGCCATCAAATATAAACTAGTCATACTCGAAGATTAAATATTAAAGAACTCTGCAAGTATTTGCAGTAGAAATACGAAAATACCACCAAAAAATTCCGCTTGAAAGATACTATATACTCAAACAATGTAAAATAGCCATAAAATATAAACTAATCATACTCGAACAATGTAAACTCGTCATACCATACCTATATACAATATACTTGAACAATGTAAATGTATCACTAAGGGGCTGTTTATATGAGAGGTGGGATGGGCGTTTGCCGGGACTGGACAATGAACAGGATCCCAGCTTGTATAAATTTCTATTATATTTATCACTGGGATCCCGCCTTAGCCAGGACGTTTTCTTCCATGTAAACACTTGTTGCCGGGACGGGATGGAAGGCGGGATGATTTTGGTGTATTGAAATACATGACTAGGCTTAAATACTGGTTAAAGAAACTCAAATGTTGTTAAAGAAAATCGTGTAGTTCAAGAAGATTATTATTGCTCCTTCAACAACCTTTCATTTACAATTATACTGTAATCTATCACTAGAAAAAGAATGCCTCCCATCGCATCCTGGAAAAGCGGGACGATGTAAACCTGGGATGTATAAATCGTCCTTCCCCTCATATAAACAGCCGCTAAGTCATACCTTTCACTGAATATCACTTTTGCCCCTTTCGTAATAGTCTTGTTCGAATCAGAATCCAAGACAATATTTAGAGTGCTATTTTCAAGCTTGTGTATCTATTTTCAATGCAATGTTTACACCCTAGCACTCGGGAAACATTGGAAATCGATTCCAAAAGTCAAATTACCCCTGCAGCATGATTTGAATATGTGCATCAGGCTACACATGCTGTTATCAGCCAATTCTAAAACCCCGATATTTTGAAAAATTCAAAAGGAATATTTCTACTCATATTTCTACATAAAGTGCTTGTTATTAACTTGGGCGAATTTTGAAACTTCAAACAGACTACAAATTTAATAGATATACCGCCTTATTAGTATTCTTTATATAAAAAATACTAATGAGGACACAACAATAGATACTGCCTTATTAGTATTCTTTATATAAAGAATACTAATTAGGAGTGTTTTATCAGGTTTAAATAATAAGCTTATGAATTATTAATGAGTGTTTGAAAGGAATTTAATATGCACAAGTTGGGTTTTACAAGGCAACAAAGTTTAATAATGAATAATATTTGGTGTAACATGTAAACTTATCTTCTGGCTTTGTTTTTTAACCTTTTGGATGTGGGTTCATTATGAGGAACTTGCAAGGATGCTCATCCTCCAAAGCCAATTGCTGAAAAATATAAGGTGTTTTATAGAAAAGTACTAAATATCCAAGTACTTGCTTTGATGTATTAAACAACAGTTTCATATTTAAAACACACTCACCACATGGAAACCTTCATTGGGAACCTGCAAGCCCTTCTTTAAGCATTCTGCTATCCAATCAACACATAAATGATATTGCTGTGGTGTACAATCCTTATTTACTGTGTGATTTGCTGACATGCTCCCCTTGCTTATAACAATGTGGGTTGTTGTGTCACGTTGTAGGTCGGTAATAACTCCTCCTTGTTCCTCTATTCTCTTCATTAATATGTGAACTTGAGTATGAATTTGCTTCTTGGGCATAAAATAAAATTCATAGCCATCAAATATTTTCTGCATTTTCAATATTCGGTTACTAGCTAGAAATTTCATTGATTGTAATTTTGATCGTATTTTAGAGTTTTTTCACTGACTGACACATCATGAAAATATATATTCAGCAGTTTAAACCAAAAGTTTAT